GAGAGAGAGAGAAAGAGAGATGGTGAGCGGGAGCGAGTAAAACTAATTGTCGCTAATGTTGGTGTAAAAACGGATAGCAATTACGGTTCAATATATATCGATAAAAAATGTGTTATCGTAAGACTGCTACCTTGTATCCGTTTCTATAGGTATGTTTCAAATATCTTAATTTGGTTGACGTCTACAAAAAGCTAGGCGCGACGGTTTCTTTGTTTCTTAGCAAAAGTTTTGGAAAACGGGAAAAACTAGACAAATATACCCTGAATCTGCGGTTATTAAGCATGAATAAAGCATATATGTCATACATGCGCCGAAACTTTCAACTTATTAATAATTGATTTTAGCGTCATGCTTATTCAGGCCTGCTGATCAATAATTTGTGAGCGACCAATCACAGTGAATGACAACATTAACCGCCAATCAAGTGTCCGATGACACTCCGTGTACAAATATAAAATAACATGTCAGCGCCCAATATTTGGGTCGCGATAGGCTGGTCTATAGAAATATATAGGCTCTATAGAATCTCTATGCTCTATAGAGTCTAACTAGTGTATTATTTCCTTGGGCTGCTCAGACGGCTAACTGCTCACGGACCACGTTCAACTACACAGAACACAACCCACGCCGTGGCTTTGTTATTCTCAAACAAAATGAGTTAGCTACGTATACGGCCCTGTATATGTTAATTTTTACTCGATATATCTTAGAGATAGAGAGAGAGAGGGGAGAGAACGAGAGAGAGAGGGGAAGAGAGAGAGAGCGATAGAAGAAGCCTCTGTGAATAACACAGATGCTTGAAATCTGCCCCTTGCTAGGAGCCTCAGAAAGGGTAGAAAATGATGAAGTTGCACGAGATGTCTTACGTACAGGAGTTAAGTTATGACGAGGTAGCGAAACGATTTAATTACAGTACACAGCTGCCATACAACAACAACAACAACAACAACAGCAGCAGCAACAACAGCAGCAGCAGCAACAACAACAACAACAACAACAACAACAACAACAACAACAACAACAACAGCAGCAGCAACAGCAACAACGACGACGACGACGACAACGCGCGCGGCCTCTGAACGCGTAGGCCTACGTCGTCTAGACTGCAATTATGACAACACGAATCATGTCTTTCCGCACGTAATCACTAATTAGAATGAGCGTGGGAGTGCTCGCGGCTAGCATTACTACACCTCGTTATCGTTGCTTGGTATTGTTGAACAGTCTCGACGAGCAATATCTTCTAAATGTCGCGAGAGTGTCATTGTCAAGGCTGCACGACTAAAACCCAATTAGCGGGTATAATAATCGGGCGGTATAATAATTGGCAGATGTAACAATTAGCAGTTAACTAAAAGCTGTCTTAGCTGTCTTTTGTAAAGGCGGGGGAAAACGCAACGAAGAAGAAGTACTGTCAGATCGTGTGACGTCACGTCAGCCACGAGGACAATCCTATCCAAAAACACATCTATGCAATGCAGACCTACAGACAGCCAGACATCTCCTACATCGGTATTCATAAGTTACGCCGTATGTAATGGATAGCGTGTAGGATTCAATAGATAGATTGATTGCTCATTTTGCTGCCCTATTCATCATGTCACTTGATATTCTCGATAAATGAATAATATGACGGTGCTATATGCGATTTAGTGTGTGTGTGTGTGTGTGTGTGTGTGTGTGTGTGTGTGTGTGTTTGTGTGCGTGTGTGCATGTGCGTGCGTGTGTGTCTGCGTATGCGCGGTGGGGGGTGGGGGGGGGTCTGTATGTAGGTGTGTGAGCGTGTTTTGCTTCATGATATCACATAGCCATCACATATTTGTTCACTAAGTACAGCTATAACCATCTCAACCAACGGGTTTCCTATCACGTTATATATATATATATATATACACGCAATGATTGCTACACGTCAATGAGTAGGAAAAAGAAGAAGCGCGAGAATGTGGAATGACGCAACCTGTGCGTTCACCATCGCATATAGACTGACCCCATACGTCGTCGTCGGCATCAGCCCGAGCGGCGTCAACCTATAGACAGCTACGCGTATGTGTACCTACTGAGCCAGTCTACACCGCATCCCTCCGCCGTATTCCCAATCTCCAGTGTCTGTGTTGTCGTTGCCATGGGCAACAGATGCCCTGGCAACAGCGACCAGCGCAGCCAACGGCGTCGTCGCCTCACCGCCGAGGATGCGGAATTACCGCGAGATCTCGCGAGTCGATCGTGAGTTTTCGATTTCTTGCGTCGGAAGGCAGCGCTGCGTTTTATATACATACGAGTACGGATCGAAGCGCGATATCTATTTACAACAATGATGCGGAATAACAGCACAGCGCTTGTCGGCAATCAGCCCAGGGCGCTGGTGGCAACCTGGCCGGCCACGTCTACTCCACAGGCACTTGGAACGTCTCAATAAAAAAAATAATGGTAAATAAACACGAAATGTACCAAAGTCTTAATGTTTCTCTACTGTATTTCGCCTATGATCACCTGTAAATGCCGGTCAAATGCTCATCTGCAACACACAAGAACACCCAACGCCCGCCCGCGCTGTGCTGCGTGCACAAACAACATGAATAAGAGAGAGCTTATAAGAGATAATAGAGCTTATAAGAGATAATAACTCTCTTATTCATGTTGTTTGTGCACGCAGCACAGCGCGGGCGGGCGTTCGGTGTACTTGTGTGTTGCAGATGAGCATTTGACCGGCATTTACAGGTGATCATAGGCGAAATACAGTAGAGAAACATTAAGACTTTGGTACATTTCGTGTTTATTTACCATTATTTTTTTTATTGAGACGTTCCAAGTGCCTGTGGTCTACTCCATGATAGATCAACTGCTAGACTCGCCCATGTCTAAATTGCAAGATCGAAGAATGAGTCGACGCGGCGATCTTTATCCAGTCTCAATTGAGGCTAAGGTTTTACACAAGTCTCTACCTCTCACCGCACAGTAGTAGTCATATATGTCCTTTTCGGAACTCGGCTGTGGTCTCGCTTGAGGCTTCAGTCTCACCTTAGACTCGCTTCACGCATGTACCTCGCTCTGCTACACGTAATACGTTCGACCGCGAAACGAGTCGGGCTGCAGTCTCATTCGAGGTTTTTGTCTCACTTGAGGCTCATGTCTCGCACAAGTTTCTATATACTTCTCCGCAGAGCTCTCGCCCCGCTACACTCTGTTGCTTGACTGCTGCGCACCGCGGCGGGGTTCTTATATTCAGTTTTACTCTTGGCCCCAGTCTCAACTAAGACTCAGGTCTCAGC